GAGGGAGAGAGAAAGAAATAAAGAAAAGATCATTATGAAGGAGGAAAAAGAAAATGACACATTGTATATGTATCCAAAATAGATACATGTATATCACAAACTGTAAGTAGACTATAGACATTCACACTATGCATAGTACAGTACATTTAGTTTTGTAATAAAATCCTTGAATAGAGTTCTAATCTAATCTGGCACCACACTAGGCTCTGGCTTGTTGCCAGTGTGATACAACCATTAATGAATAATGAGAGAATGATGGTTAGACTTACAGCAGCAGCATTCCCTCCAACTTGCATTGCTCTTAATTGTATCCATGTCCACGAATCTAGCTGTGTTGACCTGAATTAAATAAAGTGCAAATTAAATCAACAAAATAATCTGATTTTATTTTAAGCATATACATGTAAATTAGGTTAGCACGTGTGTACCAAAACAATACATAGTACAATCAAGAGTAACTCAAAAATCATGTGCTTCTGTATAATACTGAATACATGTACAAATTGAGATTAAAAGTTACCTCACGAAGCTGATATGAACGCCAAGAGAGCGATGAACAGCACTGCAGTTGATACATATCAACACACCGTATGTCACTGAAGCCCAGGTCGGGTTCTTACTACCGCAATCAAAACAACCCTGTAAGAATAAAAGTTGATGGTAGCCTATCAATAACGAGATTTTTTCAAATATTAAAATCCATAGCAACAATCTCGTAAAATGATCTCCTTTCATGATTATTGTACAGGGGCATTGCAAATCAATTAATGTGACAGTTTTCCTTTATGACAAAATTATCGATTCCTTTCATGCTTGTACATGTACCTCGACATGTACAGTAAGTACGTGTAATACATCTCCCTACCTTGTTTGGGCCAGATGCCCTCACTCTTTTAAAAACTTGAGATATTTCTTGTTTAGTCGGCTCCATGAGTAGGATAGATAAATATCAGAGCAGGAAAGAGAGCCACGGAGGAATGATGAAGGGGCCACCACAACAAGAGAAGAAACAAAGCGGGTCCGTCACGAGGGGTAAGGCTAAATGGGGCGTGGCTAATTAACTGGGTGTGGTTCTCGTTGTCATGACAGCCTTTATAAAAAGGGGCGGTCAGTGGTTGCTATGTCAACTAGATGAGATGAACAGGGTACCGGCCATGAACAGGACAAGATCGAGCAATCATCAGTCTCCTAATGGGGCCCTCTCTCTCCTCGCTAGAGGGACGGGATTGATTGATGGTGGAGTCGAGATAGAGTGCTATTCCCAGGACTCCCGTGATCTCTCGGTATGATCCTTAAAATCTGTCTGACCTATTGATTTTTTGTTATAAGTTTTGATAAACATGGAATTTAGAAATTTTGTTTGCACCATTAGAATTGCTAGGTCCTTCCTGTCCATTAGAAAAAAAACCGGGTCGAAATTACAAGGCTTAGCCTTTTTTGGATGTCCCTCTATGAAGTCAATGACATACATGTGCCTTTGACCACGATTATACAGCTGTTGAACAGCTAGAATAAATTCAGCTGCTACTTATCTGCATGGCTTCCACACACACCACAAATACGTAATGAATGCGGATGTAATGAATGCGGATGTGACGTGGTTATTTATTAATTGATAAAAGCTGGGGGCCCGGGGGTCAGGTGAAAGTGAATGGACTGTAGTCTGTTACCATTAATAATGTGGTTACCATTGTGTTATTAGTACTATGATATATAGTAGAGCATCTGACGGGCAGTGGTTGGGTTGTGTAGATTTTATGTAATTTTCAATTTCATAATGTGTATATTATCTAATCATGTGATGGTGTTAGATTAGTTGTAAAGTGTCTCCATTGTGCTATTTACCACCTTCAAAGTGGTAAATATTTTTAAAGCTTTGGCTTCACTTGAGAAATAAGGAAACCTCGTTTGATGGAACCTATAACCACGAATGATGTTTGTTGACGAATTAAAGAAGCCTAACAAATGAGAGCTTGTGTTACATTGTGTATCCTGCCTTTTTCTTCAATTTGATAGGGACAGCCATTTACGAAACCCTCTCAGTCTCGTGAAGGACAGTATGCTAAGATATACAAGCCACATGTTCTCAATCTCTCCAAGACCTATGTAACCCAACGTGGAAATCTAGTTCTCTTTACGTCTCCTGATGATATGATCATTGGACAGGCATGTCAGGTATGACTGGAAGTACCTTTTCCTTACTCTTTCTTTTTGAATTAGCTTCATGAACACGAGCGAATCCAGAGAGTTAAGTCACTGTCTCGAAATGCAGTCCACGATATTAAAACAACCAATGCATTTGCTGCATTAGTTCTTACTTATGATACTGAAAAGGTATGCAATAAAGGAATTATACTATCAGATATGATGTATTTATTTTCTATTTATTTTGATCTCATATTCCATAGGATTCAGAGGATGATGGTCGCACTATTATAAAACCTGGCAACTTCACTGGTGTTTATATAGAGAGTCTTACCAAACTAACAAAAAAAATGTAAGAAAAATGCATTATTCTCTTTTTAATTTATCAACATCATTGAACCTTATAGGACTGATGGCGTACCTGAGGAAAGAGATGGTAATTATCATTATCATTATTGTTATTATTATTAGTCAAGAGTATATGCACTATTATTAGATGCCGCCATCATTTCATTTATCTTTTACCATTAGGTGATGTTCATCCAGCTGAGAGTGACTCTGGACTTGATTCTTGTACTTATCCAACTCCTAATGGTTGTGTCTCTGTTATTAGCTATCAGTCAGAATTACAGCCAACTACCACTGATATTAGCATACCTGATGGGCAAGGAGATGAATTGTATGAGGGAGGGATTCAGGTAATGCTTTTATTGATAAAATTACATGATGTTAATTTAATATTTTTAAAGGTTCGGTTTGATGACAATGTTGATTTTATTTGCGAGGACAATAATTACAGTAGACAAGACAATAGTAATGACAGTATCGTAGATTTAATGGTCTCATTGACTGCATCATCTCAAAATCAGGTGAGCTCTTTAAAAAATAATAATCACTATTTTTTGCATATTACATGTACATGTACATTGTACTTGTATTTTATCTGTATTATGTTTGCTTTTTAAATTTTAGGAATTAGACAACCCTTCTTCGTCAAAGAGTGGTGCGAAAAAGAAAGCCTCAGCAAGTAAAACTTCAACGAGTATGAAAAAAGCAAAAGCTGATCAAAATGTTTTAAAAACTACTGACAGCAGCAATTGTAGTGCCAAGAAGATCAGTAAGCTAACCAAGAAACGAAGCAAGAAGCAGAAGAGGGGAAGAGATGGCTCAGAGCTAACGTCACCAAATAATTCACAAGTCATAACACCTCTTGAACTAGCAAGTGATTTGACTGACGTAAACATTGATGAAATACCTGAAGGAACAGAAGAGCTAGTCCTAGAGAAAACTGATGGGCTAAAACGATCAGATCTTCAGTCGGCTAGAGCAGAGAAAAGGAGACTTGAGATTGAGAGAAAAAGAAAAGAAAAGAAAGAATTAGAGATGCAGAAAGCTCAAGAGCTTGCCATGCAAGCTGAGCTAAGAGAGAGGCTTACATCTTATGAAGAGGAGCCAGAAATCAACAAAGAGAATGTAGAAGAGAAGAGCATCATATCACTCTTAGATGATGGAATGGAAGTTCCAGAAGAAACTACTGATAAACCACCTGTAATAAACTTAAAAGAATTATTAGAAAGTGAAGAACCTCCTCCGACTACTACACCTTTAATGGAGAAAGAACCATCAGAATCAGCTGTACTGAAGAAAGCTCGAGAGGCAAGAGAGAAGGCACAAATGGAGGAAATGAAAAGGAGAGAGTCACTGAAGGAGCAGCAGATGGTGAAGGAGCAGCAGATGGTGAAGGAGCTAGAAGTAGAATCACAGAATAAAGTAAAGGCAGACCAGGAGCATAAGGAAGAGGTTTTGAGAGAACAGTCTATTAAGGAGTTAGGCAAGAAGCTTAAAGGGAAAGAGCAACTTAATTATAAAATGAGGTTAGAGTTGGAAGCTCAGAAACATCATCAGCAAAAAAGTCCACATGTTTTCAGCTACTTTTCCAACATTCCTCCAAAACAAAATAAAGATAATAGTAATAATAAAAAAAGGAAACCTAAGTTTACATTAAAGAAAAAGCCTAAGTCTTGATACTTCCTTTTTTTGATAACTACGTTCATGTCATTTCTGTAAATAATTTCTGTGCATCAAATTTTTGTCATTTTCCATGTAATTTTCCATGTAATTTTTCAATTTTTAAATTCTAAACTTTTGCAGTTCACAGCATTTTAGCTCGTATGTTTCATCAATAGCTACCTCAGCAGTTGGTAAAGGGACAAAAGTATGAAAGTAATGATTTTATAATTTGAATCTGCATTAAGCTAAGTACAACTCTTCATTAACCAAATGCTGTAATTACATCAAATGCTGGTTGCATATGTGAAATCATTTTATTAAAAATATGAAATATGCTACATAAAACAAGTAGATGATTTGTCAAGATAGATTTATCAGACTATATTCTGCTCAACATAAGATTGATTTTTTGTAATAGTCTGGGATTCAGTACTAGTAGCTTGTGCTGGCATATCAACAGGTACTGTTCTTATGGCTCTGGAGGATTTTGGTACACGTGTAAAACAAGGCACAGCTACACATACAGCAATCCCAGCCACAAATAAAAGGATTAGGAACACAATTCCACCAACTATTCCTCCAACAATATATCCTTCTGGTACATCACTGTCTACAGAACAAACAATAGAGTTAATGTTAATCTTTATGTGTGTGTGTGTGTGTGTGCAAAAACCAAAAATGAAATAATTTTTTACATTTGTAATAGAGGTGCATTGTAGGTTATTATAGGCTCCTGATGAGATCAAAAGTCTCACCATTATTTGAATGTTTTTAAATGCATGCATCACTAATACTGTGTATACCTCGGCTTTCACATCTAACTCCAGCCTCATTAGAGTGGTCACAATTATGATTAGTTGTATGAGGGCAGTCAGTAAGGGTGAATTCATCTCCAGTGCAACGAACATTAGCCATAAATATGCTTCCATTTCCTGCTCCAAAATATGAATTCTTATAAGGGATTCCTGTATAAAAAATAATAAATTAAATACTTTGTATGTGCTACACATACATGGAGTCAATAGCTAGTATAGCATTGTAATTATATTTGAAGACTTCATTACCTCTGTACACATTATATCCTGATTGAATACAAGCAACTGTAGCATCACGAACGTCCCATGAATCATCACAGACAGTACCCCATGATCCATTAATGCATACTTCAACACGTCCTTCCCAATATTCGGACCCTCCAACAAGGCGAATTGAATCAAATGTTGATGATCCACAATTAGCTATGGAAAGAGTTTTAATTACATAAAATTATAGTACTTGCATAACTGAACATGTACTGAGGGTATGTTAACTATAGACTTTTTTAAAGACTATAATGCAGTATGTCACTTTAGCTTTGCTAATAAAAATTGATTAGTACCGTATAGCACATATATTTCATGGATAATAAATTTCACAAATTGCCAAAACTCACGAAATTTTTTATCTGCGAATGCTTAGAAGGAACAATTTTGCAAAATTTTATATCCATGAAATATAATTGCTATACGGTATAAGGCTCAAGGTCAGTATGTACCTTTGCAATAATCATAGCTATGTCATAATTAGCCATTAACCTTTGTCATATTCATTCATATGAATTTTGATATCACACACAAAAGTGGACTTTGTATGGGAAATGACATCACAGACTAGACATAGTGATACAATATGAACTTTGAACTAAACCTGCAGCATCCTGTGATACCAGAGGTATAACACTCAAACCTAGCTATATATATTAGTCAAGGTAAAAAGTATAGCTAGATCTAAGCATAAAAATTAACACCTTCATTGATCATACAAAGCATAGATCTAGTATGAATTTCCTACATGCAGTCTTAAGTATTACAAACATGTCTAAAGCTGCTGTTCAGTGACAGTGTGTGGCATTAATTGATTGATCATTATAAAAATCTGCAGCCTTTATAATTTGCCTACATTATTATTAGCTTGAAATACATGCAGTATATGCCTTGTAGGCTTGTAAACATTATCTTCCTTTATAATACTACACTGAAATAGTTGACATTACCTTTGATAGAACTGAAATTCAAACAGATCAGGTGTAAAATTAGAAAGAAATGTCTCTCAGCAGAGCCAACAGTAGAGTCATGAGAGAGCAGCAACATCTTGTGATTCTTCAATTATTGTATAATGTAGAGTCTGCATATAGTACAGTATAGCCTCATATTTATACACAATTCATAGGATGATGAGGCGATGATGTAATCTTAGGGCGGAGCAATCAAGTAGTGGTACAAATGGTATTCATTTAAAGGGACAAAAAGTATCATAGGCGTAGGCAGGGTGAGACATGGAGGGGCAATGCCTCACCTGACTCTGTGAGCTCAAATGTTACTTACTAATCAAGCCTCATGCAAGTTGAGGCAGTCAGAGGCACTCCTTTGATTCTTTCTTCTACAGGCAGAGGGAGTCAACCATCTTGAAATGATGATGTCATTGATTGTTGTTATGCATGATGATCTCATAATGATAGTCTAATTAGTTTTTATAATCACTAATCAGTTAACCACGTGCACGTTGAGGCACGTAAGATGGCAAGCAAAAGACAAGCTTCAGTGCTTTCATTTTCCCCTTAAACCCAAAACGGCCTACTAGGCAACTGAACCAGGATCATCATATGAATCTGATAATATTTTGTAAGTACGAGATTATTATCATCTTGTACTGTGCGTGAAAATATGCGTAAATGTCGGCTATGGGAAAGGGGGTGTGGTCAAAATCGCGCGCCATTTTATTTTCCTTCCTCTTTGCCTCACCTCTCTTCTTAGGCTGGCTACGCCAATAAAAAGAAATGTAGACTATTGAAATAAGAGCACATACTAGGTAGTACAAAAATATAAACTGCAATACATCAATGAGCTCAATAAGGAGGTGGTGGTTCATTATGAATACCAGTAGACTTGTAGTGGATGTTTTAACTATTATTACAGTTACTATTATTATGATTATTATTATTATCATTATTACAACTACAGTTATTGTTATTATAACTTGTGTGCACATGCGCATAACACATTATCTTCTCTCAGATTTCTCTCTCATGTTAGCATATTTTCTTTGTAACAGTTGTGTCTTTTGTTTTTGTTATCAAAGAGAATCTTATCGCCTTAGTGCTATTCTTCACGGTAAACAGGCTGGAGTTGATCTATAGCCTTCTCATTTTAGCTCTTTTATTAGTTGGTATTACCAACAACTTTGGCAATACCACAGACTCATCAGTACCAGGGTTTGTTCCTCCATATCCTTGTGGCTCCTGCTGCTGTGGATACTCAACTGATGCTTTTTGCTTGGCTCTGGATGATTTGAAACGCAATACAACTGCACATGCAACAACAATTACTGCACATACACAGATTAGAAGAACAATACCACCAATTACTCCTCCAACAATAGCTCCTACTGATACACCAGAGCCTGCAAAATAAAATAATAAAGTTGATATTAATTTTTGTGTCAAAAATAATAAGAGAGGTAGATTCATATACATGTAGCTGCAGGAGGTAACTTAAGTTACATTATACATGTATGCATGCATGTGGCTTAATTGATCAGCACATCATTATTGTGGATACCTTGACTATCATCTCCTTCACAACTGACTCCAGCATCCTGAGAGTGATCACAATAAAAACTATAAGTTGCATGAGGGCAGTCAATAAGGTATGATTCGGTTCCATTACACTGGACATCAGCCATTACTATGCTTCCATTTCCTTGTCCAAAATGTGAATTATTATATGCAGTCCCTGTATAAAGTAATTATGCTGATAGGTTATTCCAATAAGCATTCACATGACATAAAGGCACCAATTTGTAAATTGAATTAAACAACTGACTTCATGAAACACACTAAGTACCTGATGTATATCCTAACTGCCTACATACCACTATAGCATCAAGAGTATCCCATGAATTGTCGCAAACAGTACCATAGATACCACCAGAAAAGTAGTAACTATATCTGCATACTTCGACACGTCCTTCCATATCATTAGATCCTCCAACAAGACGAACTGATCCATCAGTGCAAGCTATTGTAGAGTACACATGATTTATTATTTTGATATACACATGATTGCACATAATATGATGTAACAGAAGCTAAAGTATTATCTTTGTTTGATAATAGTATAGCTATATGATGCATGTAGATGTATATGTAACACTATTTTATACACTAGGTGACATAGGTCTGGTGTGGTTGAAGGTGTGGGTATATGCATGGGGCATTTAGTACAGGGTTTATTTCATGAGCTGACAAGCACTACAATACAGTAGATCTACATGGCATTTGGAACTACTTTTAAAATATTTAAGATTCAGTTTTTATCTCAAAATCAGCTCAAACCGTGGCCCAAACGGATACATGCAACTGTAGCAACATAAACATCTCAATAATCATCACAGACAGTATCCCATGATCCATTAATGCTACTACAGCACATCCTTCCCAATAATAGGACCCTCCAACGAGATGAATTGAATCAAATACTGATGATCCACAATTAGCTATAGAAAGAGTTTTGATTACATATCTAGCACTTGCATAGCTGAACATGCATGCTAACTGTTAGCTATAGACTAAATAAAAACTACATTCAGTATGTCACTTTAGCTTTGCTAATAAAAATCAATTAGTATTAGGCTCCATTATGTTAGTATGTTCTCTTGCAATAATCATAGTTATGCCATAATTGACCTTTGTCATATTCAATCATGTGAACTTTGATATCACACACAAAAGTGGACTTTGTATGGGAAATGACATCACAGACTTTAGATATAGTGATACAATATGAACTTTGAGCTAAACTAGCATCTTATGATACTAGACTAGAGCTATAACAAACACACCTAGCTATATTAGTCTAAGCCAAAAGTAACTAGATCTAAGCATAAGCATTCACATTTTCATTGATCATACAAAGCATGGGTCTAGTATATATGGATTCCTACATGCAGTTTTAAGTACTACAAGTATGTCTAAGCTACTGTTCAGTGACAGTGTGTGTACATCAATGATTGATCATAATGACATAAAAATCTGCAGCCTTCTTATTTTGCCTACATTATTATTAGCTTGAATGACATGCAGTATATACCTTGTAGGCTTGTAAACATATTTTCCTTATACTACACTGAAACAGTGGACATTACCTTCGATAAAACTGAAATTCAAACAGATCAGAAGTAAAATTAGAAAGAATTGTCTCTGAGCAGAGCCAACAGGAGATTCATGAGAGTGCAGCAACATCTTGTGATTCTTCAAGTACTGTATCATGTACTGAGTATTATCCTATGGTGCAGTATAGCCTCATATTTATACACACTTCATAGCATGATGAGGCGATCTGATGTAATCTTAGGGTGGAGCAAACAAGTTCTGGTATGGTATTCAAGATTATTTAAAGGTACAGAAAAGTATTAAAAAATTTGCATTAAACTGTTCTGACAGTAAATAAAAATAAATGTAGATTATTGAAATAATAGCACAGACTAGGTAGTACAAAAATATAAAACATATAACATGAATGAGCTCAATAAGGAGGTGGTGATTCATCACGAATGCCAGTAGACTCATCAGTACCAGGGTTTGTTCCTCCATATCCTTGTGGTTCCTGCTGTGGATACCCAACTGGTGCTTCTTGCTGCTGCTTGCTGGGATAATCCTGTTGAGGATATCCTTGTACAGCAAAACCCACTGCTGGTGCAGCATAACCAGGATAAACCATCGGTGCAGCTGGTTGTGTCTGCTGTTCCATATAATCTGAGTAAGATGGAGGAGGAGGTCGATTTTCTGCCTTAGGCTCGGATTGTGTATAAGCTTCAATTATAGCATTAATAGTTTGTGCTGGAATTGATGTCATTTGAACTACAGGAGCTGCTTGTCTGGCTCTGGAGGAGTCTGATTTAAAATGTAAAACAGCTGCCCATACACATATAACAATCATACAGATTAGGAAAGCAATACCACCAATTACTCCTCCAACAATAGCTCCTACTAATTTACCAGAGCCAGAGCCTGAAGAATAAAAAATTAAGTTAATGTTAGTTTTTGTGCCCAAAATAATAAGAAAGCTAGGTTATATACATGTAATTGCAGGAGGTAAAAGTTCTCAGCTTAAGTTACATTACATATGTACAAATCTACGTAGAGATTAATTGATCAGCACATCATTATTGTGCATACCTCCTTCACAACTGACTCCAGCATCTTCAGAGTGACTACAATGATGATTAATTGTATGAGGGCAGCTAGTAAGGGTTGATTCAGATCCAGTACAGTAGACATAAGTCATTACTATCCTTCCTGTTCCTGGTCCGAAATGCGCATTTGTATATGCTGTCCCTGTATAAAGTAATTATAATGATTTGTAGATCGAATTAAACAACTGACTTCACACCATCTTTTAAACACTAAGTACCTGATGTATATCCTAACTGCTTACATACCACCATAGCATCACGAGTATCCCATGAATCATCACAGACAGTACCATAGGCTCCATTTCTACATACTTCAACAGTTCCTTCTAAATCGTCAGCTCCTCCAACAAGACGAATTGATCCACTAATACAAGCTATAGTAGAGTATGAATGAGTGAGTTATTATACTGATAATTATACATGATTGCATATAAATGATGTACCAAAAGCTGAGTATTATTTTTGTTTTAATCAGTAGTATACATGAAACATGATGCACTATATGTAACCATAAACCAGGTGACATAGGTGAGGTTGAAAGTGTGGGTATATGCATGGGCATTTAGTACAGGGTTTCCCACAAAGCATGCTAAGTGAGGCCTGGTTTACACAGAAACAAAAACGATGCAATCTGTATCATTTAAATCTAGCCTGGGATGCTTCATGAGCTGGCAAGCACTACAATACAGTACATGGTGTTTGGAATTACTTTAGAAATTATCAAAAATCTAATTTTGATTGAACTTTTTATGCAACATAAGTACATGTATATATGTATCAGAAAAAAATTATTAAAATATGGAATGTTCTCATTTTCAGTTTTGGTAAAATTTGGCCAACGACCTAGCACTATCCTCTAACTAGTCCTCGCCTACGCAAAGCTGGGCGAGGCCAACAAGGCAAATTGAATCAAATACTAATGATCTATAATTAGCTATAGAAAGAGTTGTTTATTACTTCCATAGCTGCACATGTATGTGTAGTATAAATTGGAAGATTTTAACAATAACAGGATTCGATGCTATTTAATAGACTATAAAGACTGTATTCAGTATATCATTTTAGCTTTGCTTTTGGCTTTGCTAATAAAAATCAATTGGTATTATGATGTCATTATGTACTATTGCTTAATCAACCTTTGCCATATCCACTCATGTAAATTGTGATCAGACACAAGTAGACTTTGTATGGGAAATGACATAAGATCTAGTGATACAATATCAATATTGAACTAAACATCCTGTGATCATACTAGAGGTATAACAAACAAACCTAATTATATTAGTCTATAGATTAAAAGTAGCTAGAGATCGAAACAACATAAGAGTTAACATTCTCTTGATGCATACAAAGCATTGGTCTCACTCACTGGGTGGGATAAGTCTAGTATGTGTTACCTATGCATACAGTTTTAATTATTACTAAAAGCATGTCTAGAGCTACTGTTCAGTGACAGTGTGTGTACATAAATTGATTGATCATAATGACATGAAAAATCTGCAGCCTTCATATTTTGCGTACATTATTATTAGCTTGAAAGACATGCAGTGTATGCCTTGTAGGCTTGTAAACACATTTTCCTTTATAATACTACACTGAAACAGTTGACATTACCTTTGATAGAACTGAAATTCAAACAGATCAGGAGTAAAGTTAGAAAGAAATGTCTCTGAGCAGAGCCAACAGTAGAGCTATGAGAGTGCAGCAACATCTTATAATTTTTCAAGTATAGTATCATGTACAGCCTGCATTATTCTATGGATGCAGTAACCTCATATTTATACACACTTCATAGCAATGATATAATTTTAGGGTGGAGCTGGTATTCAAATTAAAATTTAAAGAGACAGAAAAGTATTATTCATATAGAATCAGCATTAACCTATTCTGACAGAAAATAAAAGAAATGTAGACTATTGAAATAAGAGCACATACTAAATAGTACAAAAATATAAAACATATAACATCAATGAGCTTAATAAGGAGGTGGTGGTTCATCACGAATGCCAGTAGACTCATGAGTACCAGGGTTTGTTCCTCCATATCCTTGTGGCTCCTGCTGTGGATACCCAACTGGTGCTTCTTGCTGCTGCTGCTGTGGATAAGGTACTTGCTGGGGACAACCAGTTTGAGAATAATCCTGTTGAGGATATCCTTGTACACCAAAACCCTGCTGCTGTGGAAGAGGTGCAGGATAACCTTGAGCTGGATAACCATATCCTTGTGTAGGGTAGCCTGCTGGTGCAGCATAACCAGGATCAGCCATTGGTGCAGTCGGTTGTGTCTGTTGTTCCATATACTCTGAGTAAGATGGAGGAGGAGGCTGACTTTCTGCCTTAGGCTCGGATTGTGTATAAGCTCCAGTTGTAGTACTAGTAGTTTGTGTTGGACTTGATGTCATTTGAATTGCAGGAGCTGCTTGCCTGGCTCTAGCTCTGGAATGTAATACATATACACATGACCACCACCATGTGCATACAAAGAAAAATAAACATAAAACAATGCCACTGATTACTCCTCCAATGATAGCTCCTACTGATACACGACGGCCTGCAGAATAAAAATAATAAAATTAATGTTAACTTTTGTACAAAAATACACAATTATGCATAAAATAAAAGTGAGGTAGATTATACAGTAAAGCTCCACATTTTTGTAGTCTGAACTGAAAAATAAAATTTTGGGAATTAGTCGACACGTCCAGTTGTCACAACAACAACAGGTAGTTTTCATGATTAAGGATTAAAGTTTCACCTAAAATCATGAAAATTTTGACTACAAAAATTTGGAGCTATAAGAAGTATTACCAACTATCAATGAGTTAATGTGTATATGTCATTACAGTGTGCTTTGGCTACCTTTACACCCAGTGGCGGATCTGGGTGCAAGTTAATGGTAGGGCCAGGAAGTGGGTGTGTCCACTTTTCAACCAGTTATTTTATGGTTATGCATCTTTTGGCCATTTTTATGATGGGTTTCAACAATTTCCTCATCTATGCTGTGCTTATAATGCTCTTCAAGCACTTGTAAGTACTCTGGTGTGGCTTGTGGTTTGCTTTATCAAAACTTGAGGCAGGGAATTGTTTACATTGCATCTAATGAATCTCATTACTGACTTCTGATGCCCGGGCCATGGCCCGTCTAGGCCCGGGCCCAGATCCGCCACTGTTTACACCTAACTCCAGCATCATCAGAGTGAACACAATTATGATTAGTTTCATGAGGGCAGTCAATAAGGTTTGATTCATCTCCAGTACAACGAACATCATCCATTACTATGCTTCCTGTTCCTTGTCCAAAATATGCTCCAAAATATGGGGTTGCTGTATAAATTATAATACCACAAATTATTGAATATTTATTTCAGTAATTATGCATGCATATAGACTTGGAGTCAGGTGTTGCTATTTTATAAACACAAAGGCTTAAACTTACTTTCCTTTCAATCAAGATTAAACAACTAACTCCAAATGATTACTGTTAGCTTTTTTAACATTAAGATTATTTGATACCTGCATCATCATATCCCAACTGTCTACATACAACTGTAGCATCATTAGTATCCCAGTAATCATCACAGACAGTACCCCATGATCTACTACTACATACTTCAACACGTCCTTCAAAACCATTGGACCCTCCAACAAGACGAACTTCTCCATCAAAGCAAGCTGTAAAAAAGATAAA